TTTCCCAGAAACATATTAAAACATCTTTTTTTTTTTTTCTTTAAAATTTTTAGATCTACCTTCTGCAGCTGGGACACTGTGGACCCTAATATCGCCCAGATTCTAACACCATGCTAATCCCAGATACGACTTTAATGGAATTATTTAGTGGGAGCAATGGGAAAAAAAGAGTCTTTTTCCTATTGGTATCTGGACCAATTTTGGCCTTGTGAGATAGAAAAGTACAGGTTTTTTCTATATAGAATGTTCTTCTCATTGATAAACTTCTGTGTGTGCCTTGAAAACAGATTCTGAGCCCTGAGACTGACTATAGTCCTGTGATATATAGGAACCTGGGTATCAGTGACAAAATAGACTACTCGTGTTAGAATTTCCCTGAGTAAGAGGAATAAGTGTAGATGAAAGTGAGCCTTGGTCTGGTTGAATTTTTGAAGTATGTTTTAGAGTATTTCCAGCTGGAATAATCATTGTTCTAAAATTAAACAGTATTTATTGTTAAATTGTGCTGAGACAAATTATGAATATATTTCATGATATATAGCAGATCATAACCCTGTGGGTTGAAGTGTCTTTATTAATAATGAAAACGAATGATGGTACATTAGTATTTCTATGGTGTTCCTTGGTCTTCAGGGTGTGTGACGTAAGAGATTCTGGCATGTCTATGATGTGTTAATCAGAGTCAACAATGGACCCTGGAGACCATCAGCCCAGGGCGTGGCCCCCTTCTTCCAGAAATCCCCGTCACAGGAGAATTACATGTTTCCCCAGGTCCTGAAGGCCCTGTTGTCAATTTGTATTTAGCCTAAAGACAGTATTTCATTTGAAAATCACTTGGATAACCCTTTGTATCTGCAATAATAATATTGTAATTATTTAAATGTGTCCGTTGTGTTTTTTCCTTTATTTTGCTTCAATTTCTTCTAATTCACGTCTCCTTATCCAGTGAAATGGAAAGATGAAATGTCTGTGTTTGCTCTGCTTTCTGTCGATGGGCTAAGCCGATCGCTCTGTGCTATAAACACTGTTGGCAAGAAATGATGACAGATACTCTGCAGAGGGTTTCTTGATTCTCTGTGGTACCTCGCTGCCAACTGAACCTTGAAAAGAGACCCATGGATGCAAGTAAATAAACTTGAGCTGGGACGGAAAGCAGAAAACAAAGTGAGTGACTCTTCACATTATGTAAGTAGAGGATGGTAGATTGATTGGAGCACTAGGCTTGGTAGAAGGAGGAAAGGAAATGTGACACATATGGCATGACATGGCAGAGCAGCCTGCTGTCACTGGCAAACTGGACATATCAGCCCCAAGCCTGGACAGTTCTGGACCCAGCCCAGGAAAAGGGTGGCCATGAGCAAGCTCAGCAGGAGGGACAGAGCCATACTGAGTAACTGTGTCCTGGCACCATGGCTCATTAGCAACCTGGCCATGGGGTCAGTTTCATGACTTCAGGGAGGGACATCATCCTGGGTGAGCACCTGACCTGAGTCTGCACTGCTCTCTGCTCAGCCTGTCTTCTTTTCAGGAAGTGCTCGGCCAGCCGGGAACAAGAGTTATGGATCAGGACGGCATCAGGCTCTGCAAGTCCTGGCTCGCCTCCTTGACCAATAGGTCCCTTGGTCGGCTCTTTCTAAGCTTGAAAAGACAAATGGGAGTCAATTAACTCCTGGGAACCCTATTTTAACAAAGTATAGACTTTCTGTCCCATAGTTCTTAATATCTGTCCCCTTTTTTGCATTATAAGAATGTAGGGAGGATGAAAAATAGTTCTTGAGCTATCTAGGCAAAGGAATTCCGAAAGTTCAAGGTCACGTCATTATTTTCTATGTGTGTTGTTCTCTAGGAATGCTCTTAAAAAATGATTCCTTTTTCCTCTTAGTGCCCTGGTTTATCGTAGCGCAGTGTTTGTGGCCTGTAACGGGGGGGCAAGGCCAACCCCTGCTTCTGTGCCATTGGCTCTCACGTCCTCCTGCTTTCTCAGGAATCTTGCCCTATGGGTTACTTTTTCTTTCTCTTGTGTATTCAACTTTTCATTGATCAAGTTTTAAAAATTCTGAAGTCTCCTCCCTTAAACCAAACAAACAAAAAAAAACTTATTAAATCTAAATCCCTCTCTGCTCGCATCTGACCTTGGAACAGCTCTAACCAAAGATTTTCAATGACCACCGGTCCCTAAACTGAATGGAAAAGTTTTATTCATTTATTCCACCCCTCAAGTTTTTTCTTTTTTTCCTTTTTCCTTTTTATTGTAGAAATTTTCAGATATTCACAAAAGCAGAGAAATCAGTAAAATGAACTCCAGGTACTTATCATTCAGCTTAACAATTCTCAAATTTTGCCAAGTCTATTTTATGCACATGTACACACACACACACACACACACACACACACACACACACAAACACTCCTGGTTTTTGTTTTGTTTTGCTAGAGTATTTTAAAACAAATCCTAGACATAATGCTAGTTATGCTATATATACTTCAGTAGGTATCAATAAATGATAAACTTGTATAGTAACATAACTAGACTACCAATTTTATCAAAATAAACAATAAAACCATAAACCAAACCCACTGCCACTGAGTTGATTCCAACTCATAGCAACCTTATAGGACAGAGTAGAACTGTCCCATAGAGTTTCCAAGGAATGCCTGGTGGGATTCAAACAGCTGACCTTTTGGTTAGCAGCCATAGCTCTTAACCACTATGCCACCAGGGTTTCCATAAAATGTGTTTCTAAACATTTTTGTTTGGAAAATGTTTGGGTTGTATTTAAGTTTCCCAGATTGTTTCAAAACTGTTTTTTTGGCAGTTGTTGTTAGGTGCCATTGAGTTGGTTCCGACTCACAGCGACCCGATGTACAACAGAACAAAACACTGCCTGGTCCTGTGCCTTCCTCACAATCATTGTTATGCTTAAGCCTTTGTTGCAGCCACTTTGTCAGTTCACCTCATTGAGGGTCTTCCTCTTTTTCGCTGACCCTCTACTTTACCAAGCATGATGTCCTTCTCCAGGGACTGATCCCTCCTGACAACATGTCCAAAGTATATAAAATATAGTCTGGCCATGCTTGCTTTTAAGGAGCATTCTGGTTGTACTTCTTCCGAGACAGATTTTTTCGCTCTTTTGGCAGTCCATAGTATATTCACTATTGCTCTCCAACATCACAATTCAAAAGCATCAATTCTTCTTCAGTCTTTCTTATTCATAATCCAGCTTTCATATGCATAGGAGGCAACTGAAAACACCATGGCTTGAGTCAGGCGTACCTTAGTCTTCAAGGTGACATCTTTGCTCTTCAACACTTTAAAGACGTCTTTTGCAGCAGATTTGTCCAGTGCAGTGCGTCTTTTGATTTCTTGACTGCTGCTTCCGTGGGTGTTGATTGTGGATCCAAGTAAAATGAAATCCTTTAAAACTTCAGTATTTTCTCCGTTTATTGTGATGTTGCTTATTGGTCGAGTTGTGAGGATTTTTGTTTTCTTTATGTTAAGGTGTAATCCATACTGAAGGCTACAGTCTTTGATCTTCATCAGTAAGTGCTTCAAGTCATCTTTACTTTCAGCAAGCAAGTTGTATCATCTGCATAACGCAGGTTGTTAATGAATCTTCCTCCAATCCTGATGCCCCATTCTTTGTCATATAGTTCAGCTTCTCGGATTATTTGCTCAGCATACAGATTGAATAGGTATGATGAAAAGATACAACCCTGATGCACACCTTTCCTGACTTTAAACCACGCCATATCCCTTTGTTCTGTTTGAACGACTGCCTCTTGATCTATGTACAGGTTCCTCATGAGCACAATTAAGTGTTCTGGAATTCCCTTTTGGCAGTTAGTGTGTTTAAATTGGGATCCAAACAAGGTCCACACATTGCATTTGGTTTTTGTCCCTATAGCTCTTTTAATCCACAGCAATTGCCCCTCCCCCTTACTTCATGTCACTTTTTAAATAAACCAGGTCAAGTGTTCTATAAAATGTCTCACGCTCAACTGATTGAATCTCCTTGGTGTCATTTAACATATTCCTCTATCCTGTTTACTTCCTGTGAACTAGTAGTAAGATGGAGAGGCTTGATCAGATTCAGGTTCCCCCTTTGCTAGTCCGTGGGGATTGACTATGTACGTGCTGGCTGGTAGGATGGGTTGTTTTTTCACCTTGCTTACAGCTCTCCTGTTGTTGTGTGCTGTGCCTGGAAGAAAGTTTACAAGGGCTCGTGCTCCAGGAGGGCTAGAGGAAAGGGACAAATGGTCAGGTAAAGACACATTTATGTAGAAGGCTTTGACCTTTGCGCTATGCCTAGGGCTGGGGGAGGGGAAGAATGAACGCTCTTGCCAAAGTGAAGGGAAGTTCAGACACCTGGTGGAGTCACACAACTATTTCCCCAGGCTCCTCTGATCTACGTGAATAGTAGAAATTCCCTTGCTTAATAGAGCCCTCAGGTTTTGTTGACTCTGCAACTCTCCAGAACAGGCAGGGGCCTTGGGAACAGAAGTATAATTTATGCCAAGTTAGTGTTCCTCAGTCTTTTAAAACCAAAGCTCACGTTAGATAAACATAAAAACCGCATGTCTCTCCTGGGGTCTTTACTCCCCGACTTGGGAAAATCAATCTTCCTGTACCTTCTGGCCCAGAAGACTTTGTAAAACTTTCCTTTCTGTAGATGGCATAATAAAAATGATAGGTACGGTTTTTGTGGTGTTGTGTTTTGCTTTTTTCCCAAAAATATATATTTACATTATAATACCAGATGGGCTTCTTTATTTTACATATGCTCCTCTAGAGTTCTGCTCTAAATGATTTCAGAGTTATTTATACTCAGGGGAGTGGAGTCTTTCTACTATATTTCATTCTGATAATGTCTATATTGATGATGCCAGTAATTTTTGACAAATTTTCTTCCCCTCTACAGGGTAGCTATGAGACAGAATCAACTCGACGGCAATGGGTTTATACACCCTGCTTTCTATGTTTGATTTTTACAACCAGTTTTCCTTTATATAGTCATATATTTTCCTATTTTTTTATTCATTTATTTAACAAACATTTATTGAATGGTCCCTGTGCCAGCCATTGTGCTAAGTAATGAGGTTACATGGAAAACAAGAAA